TTTATTTCTAATTCCCTCGTCTATATTTTGCTCATAATTTGATATGAAGCCTCATTGTTGTCTTTTCTGATTCTGTTTACACTGTTTAAATTTTGATTCTGCATTATTCTTGATACATATGACACAGCTCTCTCTCAACAACGTGAATCTAGACCAGCAATGCTCTACTGCCTTTTTCAGGAGAGGAACAGAATCACAGTGGCAAAAATGCAGGATTTTCTTAATTTAAGATTTTACATGTGGAAATGGTTCCGATTCTGTATGAAAGATGTGTAATTTTAAGATCAGAGTCATATTTTCAAATATTTTGACAGCATATTATCAAAAATACATTGGTTTGACAGTGGTACAGTTAATTTTGGTTACATGATTCTGTAGTTTTAATGTAGTATTTTGTCTTTGTGTGTTTGTCCTTAAGCCCAAAGCAACAAAAGTCTACATTTGACAGTGCCCTCTCAAGCAGCAACTACAACAAGCTCTGTCACAAGCAAAGCCATCTGGCTATTCAGGTAAAACAAAATATTGTGTAGTGCTTCGCACTTCAGAAGTTGTAAGAGGTTTACCGTCATCACAGAATATACATACTATTCCAAATTAAAATGATGCAGAATACATTTTGATTTATGAAGTTATGTGTTATATATGTGTATAAAATGTAATGCATACAAAAGTTGAAAGGACAATCTGATGATTCTCCATTATGCCTGGCATTAAAGTAGCTTTGAGTACGATGCATTAATAGATTTCTTTGTATTTTATGATTTGAACGGTTAATGTAAGGTAAATCTAAAACCCTATGCACCTCTCATTCTTAGTTTTAAGCTGACTTTTATGCTGATATGAAAATCTAGTTCAGATGAGGTTTGATTTATTTCTGTCTGTATTTTCCAGATTCAAAATTTTCCGCTTGTTTTGATTCAGAGAGGCAATATTTGTTACGAGGGTGGTGTGGTGTGGGGACAGAGAGGACCCAAACGCAGCACTCTGAGCGAAGGAGGCTTATTTAGGGAAAAGGGGGTTGAGGGAGTGGAGGGAGAGGTGGATGCCGAGGAAACACTGGCACAGAGAAACCGACCGGACGGGAGCCAGGGAACACTGGGGCCGAGGAAGGGAGGATGCAAGGGAGAACTGGGAGGACGCCGTGGGGGAAGCCCGAAGAGGAGAGGTCCGGAGGACGAGGGTGAATGAACCGGGTATGGAGCAACGACGATCAAGCAAGAGTGGAGAACCGGGGTTGAAATACAGGCAGGGATGAGGTCGACTACTGGCAGGTGTGGCAGGCTGACGAGGTGCAGGTGCGGGTCGTTGGCTGAGCTCAGGAGCAGAGAGAGAGAGGAGGAGCACACAGGGGAGAAAACACAGGGAGGCAGGCAGGGAACAGAAAACCAAGGAAAAAGCAGAATAACTGATAAAAAGGAGAAAAAAACCAGGACACTCACCGTCAGCCGGGCTGCCACCACAACACTATATGGCTTATTACACAGTGCATGAGTGGGAATGCATTCCTAAAAGTCTCTAAATTAACTCAATATCTCATAAGAAATAAATCTAAAATATCAGTGAATTAAATCATATTCCTGACATGAAAACCAGAGTGAAATTTGGGGTAATGATTACCTCTCCTTTCTCCTCTTCTCTCCTCTCCCCTTCTCTTTCTTCCACTCTCCTCGTCCATCCTCCCTTCTCTCTTTCCTCTGTCCTCTCTTCTCTGTATTATTCAGTGTTTCCAATACTGAGAGACAGGAAATAAAGTTCAGGAATCACTAGAGTTGTGCATAAGGTCCATAAGGCCAGATTTACTACAGGTTGTTTGTGCGTGTACAAGCGAGTGCAAACCTCAGCTGTTATCGGTACCAAAGTCCTTTTAGGCAAGTCATGCCACTCGGCAGCCATCTTGGCAACGCTTCTGGGCAGCAATTTCATACTAACAAAACCAGGCTCCTATCTGAATGAATGGGGAGAGAGCCAGAACTGAGCTTTCACTGGTCACTGGGACATAAAAACTACATGAATAGAATCAGCAGTAAAATCTGATAAAAATCCCTGAAAAAGTTTGACGACTTTGCCCCAAAATAATGTTTAAAAAGAGTTTTTCCCCACCGGTTATACTTCTACTAAGCATGTGTCAGTGGAACCACACGATTGGCTGAAATATGATTCCCGTTTTGGCTGTTTAAAGCAGATGATTGGCTTTTTAGCGGGAGGGGCGGGATAACCGCCATCTTTGCCGTTACGGGCTTTTCCCATAGAGTTGTATTGGGGATGTGATTGAACGCTTCCTCTTTCCTCCTCAGTTGGCAGTCTTCTCCTTTTTGTATGATTCAAAGACAAAATTTCTAAACTTCCTAAACTTAGTGAAATTATTTCAAATGTTTAGGATGGAAAGTTAGTAGTGTTACTAGTAGTGTGTGGCGTTGGAAGGAGCACGCATGGGACGAGCAGCAGAGCAAACTAAGCTGAACACACGTTTGTAATTATTAATTTTTACAAACGTCTTGGCATGTGTGAGCTACAGGACACTCAGACAAGCAGCATGGAGACATTTTATTGATTATTGATGTATTTTTGGACGTTTGAAGCTAAGATACCGCTCACTGCAGTTGAGTGGAAAAAAAAACGTGTCTCAAACTCGCAGAAGAACACGGATGTTAACAAAACTTCACCAATCCTTCTATTGACAAAAGGGTGAGTAATTGATAACAAAATGAGTCTTAGGGTGAACTATACCTTGTTGTATTGTCATGCAAACTTGCTGGAAAATGTTTTATTGAGAAAATTATTTCTTCACTTAAGAAAAATAAATGGTTTGTTAAATGAAACAGTTGCCTCATTTTTTTGTTCATTGTTTCAATAAAGAAAAACATTAAGAACAAATTTAACAAATATGTAAAATGTTGTGAAAATGTTACTTAAATATAGTCTAAAAATAAAAGTTAGAGAAGGAATTTAAAATTTGTGATTGACTCGAGAAAGTTCCACTTTTTGACTTAAATTATGAAAATAAAAATACCTTGTGCAAGATATTCAAATTTCTGAGATGCACCTGTAGATGCACTATCCACCTTCTTTAATTTAGAGAAGTCAGTTGTTTTGAAAAAACAAATGGTGTGTCTCCGCCTCCCTGAAGGAAAGATGACCACAGACCCAACAGAGATGAGGAAGCATAATGGATTACTAACTAGATCATCTTTGTATGAACTTGTAAATGTACTTAATTACACTCCACCACTGGAAATATTTAAATTCATGTGCAAAAATATCAGTCTGTTCAGTAGATGTTGAGATTTCTTTGAATTAAAAACAAAAGAAACAGAAACACAGACTGACCTCACGATGGCGCTCTGGAGTCAACAGCCAGCAGAGAGCTCTCTCTGTCTCTCACAGTATAGCTTTGTCCCTAACTCTTAACCATCACAACTAAATGACCCAAACCTTCATTGAACTTGAATCTTATTTAATCTTCACCCTAAAACACTCTTTTAAAGGTCTGTCCCAAAGTGAGGACCAGACAAAACGTCCTCACTCCCAAGGTCTCAAACTCTAATTGGTCCTGACAATTATAATTACAGACACACAGAACGGGAGAAAGTCAATAATTATTTCAATAATCTTCAGGCTGTTCTTTGTTCAGCATGTTTGGAGATTTAAAATGTGTCTGTGGACGAACTGAACCTGGAAACTGTGGTCATGTTTGTCCTCACAACATAACATAAAACCATGAAACATTAAATACAAACATTGTAATGGTAAAAAAAATCCATCCTCTGTCCTTTCCTAAACACTTTTCCTTGACTTTGATGGAAAACGTCATGAGGTCAAGGAAAGATGTGAAGGAGAATTCATAAAAGACAACCGCGGTGCTCAGAGAACCAGGCTGCACTTACACCAGCTTCTTTTTAACCAACTTTATTTATAACACGCGGAAGATGAGTACAGTGACAAACTCAATGCTGCTCACTTCAAAAGGTTTCCTGTCCAACACAGAATCACACCTCCTAAGAAAGGATGTTTCATTTGGTACATTTAACCATCAGTTAGGCTGCTCATAGGAAGTAACAACAACATAGATACTGCTGAAAAAACAAAAAGGATTCAAATGCTGACACAATATAATAACAAAATCAATATACAAGTAGAGAAAGTTGAGTGAATTATACTCAAACATAAATATAGAGTTTCCTGGGATGGGTGCTTTTGATATTTTTATACATTTGTTAAATAGATGCTCTGTTGTTTCTACAGGTGCATCTCAGTTTTTTAAATTCATAATTATAATTAAAGTTATAAATAAATATATAAAAATTGACCTGAGAATCAATTCAAAACACCTGCAAATGTTTCCTGATCCTTTAATCTCTCAGTCTGGTTCAGTTCAAATAAACTTTTCTAAGATATTGTAATTTTTTTAGATGCTCCTGTACATTTATGGGTGTCTATCGTGGTGAAACTAATGGTGAGTCGCTCTAAAGGCTGCTGTTGCAAGGAATTGTGGGAAAGCATTATCTCCTTTCCTTTCATAAAGAACTGTCCAGTGTAGCCTTTGCTAAAGGAGCTAAGAAAGGAAGCATTTAACAGCCTTTACTTACCATTTAGCATTGTCACAAAAAGTTCACACTGTATTTGTGTCAATGACCCGTTTCACCACATGAAAGGAAGAAGAAGTTGTTGAAGGTGTGAAGAGCTCTGGAGGTGTTAAACCTCTACAGAAATATAGGTGTTAAAATGACTGCATATCAAACAATAACAGCAGATACAGAAATAACAGTAAAAACTAATACATGTTTAACTACAACACAGCACTAGCACATTAAAGTGCCTGACAGCAAGTTCATCAAGCTAAATGTCCCATATATTATCATAAAATAATTCAAATAATAAAACATTTATCAGTTCTCAGTGTAAATTACCTGTAATGATATGAGCTGTAACTACACTGTGGTCTCTTATTTGTTTGGTTTGTTGACGGTGGCGTAGAGGTCGCTGGGATCAGCTGAGGCTCCAGCAGAAGAAGAGGAAGCTTTCACGCTGCTGTAGGTCACTGTGTTGTTGTCAGGTAGTCTCTGGTTACCAGGTAAATAAATCACAGAGAAATATTTCAGCTCTAAACTTACAGGTTATGTTAATCAGGGTGAACAAATGTTGGTCTGAATGTTCTCACCTCGAGCTCTGATGAGAAGAACAGTAATCACAGTAATTAGGAGGAGTTCAGCCACACGCATAACCAACATTATGTAGTCCAGAGCAGAACAATCTGCACGAGCTGTAGAACAGAAAAAAATCAACAAGAACTAAATAAAAGACTAAAATAAAACGTTAGATTAATATGTTTATTATGAGGAGGATTATGAAAGAGGCTGACAGGAAGACAGAGAGACTCCAGAGAAAGATGAGTTACTACCTTGTAGTTTTGTTGAAGCATCATTGGTTGTTGTTGTTGTGGCTGTAACTGATTTTGTGTTTTCAGTTGTTGTTGTTGATGTTGTTGTTGATTCTGTTGTCAGAGATATTGTGAGAGAAAGAAAACCAGAGTAAAGTTCATCACTGTGAAAAGTCATCAGATAAACAAATGTTTTGGTGGTTTTAGCTCAGCATATTCTCACCTGTTTTCTCCCCTGAGGACTGAGGGCTGAAGGTGAACAGCTGCACTTTTCCAGAGGAACCATCTGTCACTTCACACTTCAAGTTAGACTTTGATTTGTAACTAAAATGAGAATCCAGGAAAGACACAGCGGCGGAGCAGCCAGACTGTGATGTCTTCATGTCTTTGTCCACATCTTTACCCTCATACAGCCACTTCACTATGTGTCTACAGAACTGTCCATATTTCAACACAGAGCAGTTTAACGTCACCTTATCAGCGTCCTTACGTTCAGTCACTGGTGAAGATGGAGATATTGTGAGAGAAAGACAACAAGAGTAAAGTTAACTTCATCACTGTGATCATAATTATTGTAATGTTTCAGTATATTGTTCTAACAAGACAGTTTGAGCTGAAAACATTATGATGGAAATACTTACTGGTAATAACAGACAGATAAAACAGAGAGTCTGGAGCTTGATGTTGTCCTGATATGAACTGTTTGCAGTAATAACGACCAACATCCTCGACTGTGACCTTCTTTATAACCAGAGAACAGTTCTCTGTAACACTCAGTCTGTCTGATTTAGATTTGGTGTTTTCACCAATCTGCCCAAAATCAACCAGCCCTACTGCTGATCTACTTCCTGAACCAACAAAGAGCCATGTAGTATATTCACAGTTTTGCTGACCGTCTATCACATTTTCACAAGGCAAAGTGACGTCATCTCCAACTCTGACAGTGAAGGAGAGGGGAAGTTTTTCAGCTGCTGCTGTTGAGAAAATGATGAAAAATAAAGTGAAATGAGAAAATGTCTGTTATGTTCATAGTTAGTGACGATTATTTCTTTATCCTTAGTTTCCAAGAGTTCACTAAACTCACCACATTAGAAACAACAGATTTGGTTTTCTTAGTTAAATCAAATGTAGCTAATAAAGAATCTTTAATAATATTGATCAAGTTATTTTTTACAATGTGCCTTCCATTTATATATGTGATATATGTATTCTTACCTGTAAACTGAAGCACCGCTGGAAGAAATAAAGAAATCCATTTGAACTCAACCATCATGATTCTCTGAGTCTCTCCTTCTTCTGTCTCTTGTTCTCGTGCTCAGAACTGTCTGAGTTTCTAAACTAGTGCTTTAGTAGAGAGACGCTGCAGCTACTTCCTGTGGTTAGGATGATGTCACTTCCTCATAGTGACTTTTAGTCTGTTTTAGATTTCAGTCCCTCAGAATTTCTTGTCGATGTCCAAACAGCCAAAAACTCTTACAATTTTTACATTTTGAAATGTAGTTTTCTCTCATCCACAGTGACTGACAGAGACCCCAAATTCTTGATCAGCAACATGAGATGCAGCCATCAGAGTTCACACTTTGTTCATTCAGGTCTATTTGTGACAATGACGTGTTTCACCAAGCGAAAAGAAGAAGAAGAGGAAGCTGAAGGTGTGAAGATTGTTAGTTAAAATAAATGTTTGCAATGATGCAACTTGTTTTCTTCAGATAGTGTTTATTAGAAAACAGACAGGATCCATGGTGATGTTTGACAGCACACATGAACAGACAGGTGAAGAGTCAAACTCCTCTCCCACCAGAATCTGACTCCTGATGTCCATGGTGCAATATGGTGATACTGTAGCAGCTGCTGAAGAACACAGATAAGATGATATTTTACTGCTCTGAGATCTGCTGGTTCCTCATTTTATCTTTGCAGATATTTTTTTTAAGATTAAGGAAACTCAGCAGAAGTTGAATCAGGAAGACATCGTTCATGCTGATCTATTTCTCCCCCGCCCCCTCTCTTCCTTTTTTCTGCTTCCAACTCCGTCATTAGATTGAGGGCGTTCATTCTTTCAGTTAAACCAATCAGAATTTGCCACAACCTCTGTGAGCCAATCATATTGTTGCTGTCAGACTTTCAAACTGTCTTTTCTCTCCTGGAGGACCCCGACCAGATAAAAGACTGCAGCATCACTCCAGCTCCAGGCCTCCCTCCCTCTCTCGCTCCAGCAGCTGGTGGATCAAGCAGTCTTCAGTGATCCCACTGAGCCCTTCACATCCATTCTGGTTCTGGCCTCTGTGGTCACAGCCCCTCCACCAGGTAGGCCATACATCCCTCTCACATTTCTTAAACTCTCCTGTTCCTTTTCCTTTTAATTCCTCTTTAAGCCTCTTTTTCATTTAAGTCTCTCCTGACTGAGCTGAATAGGAAGTGTTTTGGTGAGAATGTGGACATGAGACAAACAGGCGTTTATCAAATTCTGATGAAAACTACTTTAACCCCTGGATGTCCTGGTTTTGGTTGTGAGTTTGGTGATTTCCTGTTTTCTTTTGTTAAATCCTTCCTCGTGGGTCTTTGTCAGTTCACTTCCTGTCCTTGAGTTGATTTTTGTTTCCACCTGTGTCTCGTTTCCTCCACCTCTCTTGGGTATTTAAGTGTGTGTATTCCTTTTTGTCTAGTGTTGGCTCGCCTGTGTTTTACAATAAGCACGCCATTTGTTTTCACTCTGGAATTTGGGAGTTTTACCTGGCTAGGTAACTGAAAAATGTTCAAATCCAGGTTTGTTGTTTCACATGTATGACTACTACTTTATTGAACGCAGATTACATTTCATTCACAGTTAACATGAGCTAGAGGAAATGAGATGTTTGCTAAGAAAAGAGTAAGTTGAAAGTTAAAACTTGAAATGATAAGAATTATGAATTAGAGATGATAATGCAGACTGTATTTTATGATAGTGTCTTTGGTTCTGGTTCAGCATTGTGTGGGTCTGACTTTCTACAATACTTGGTGACTCCTGTTTGTGGCACCCATGAACTGGTGAACTTGATTCATCCTCATCTACAGACTGCAGACATTACGTTAAACAAACAAGGAGATTGTAACTTTGTAAAGGTGCTTACAGACCAAAAGCAAAGTGAGCGTTGTGGGCGCTGCGTTTACATACAAAGTCAATGCAAAGACACATAGCGCCACGAGCGGTGTGAAGAGGGTGCTGCCGGTAACGAGAAGGCCTTTGCGTGAGTTGAACATTTTCAACTCGAGCGAGAAAGTCGGATGACGCTAAGTCGCTGTAGCCTATCAGCGTTGAGATCATCCTGACATCACCGATGGCTTCAGAGCGTTGTGTGGAGAGGGCCGGGCAGAGCGGGGGATTGAAATGCCGCTGGCCGGCGGAGAGCTGCTACACTTGGAGAAGTTGAGGACAGAGCAGAGAGCAGCGCTGCAGCTTTTGGACAAATAAACACCCGCGGTCGGTTTGGATTACACTCTGACAACTACGCTGTTTACCCGTGGGAGGAGCTCGGAGTAAACTGCTTTTATTAAATTAGCTTTTCACTTTAGTTTTGCGGATGACAACGTTGATTTATCTTCACTGGAGCTTCTCAGCAGCTAGCTTCCATGCACATCCGGTTTCACTGTTGTTGTTAGAAGGGGTGATGGCGCAGTGGCTAAGACACTTGCCTTTGGTTCAATCCCCCACTGTGACCCATCCACCATTGTGTCCCTGAGCAAGACACTTCTCGTTGCTCCAGAGGTGTGCGACCTCTGACATATACAGCAATTGTATGTCGCTTTGGATAAAAGCTAAAATAAATGAATAAATGTAAATGTTGTTAGCGTCGGTTGGCACCCAGAGCTCTGTTGGACTAATACTTCATATTTATATAAAAAACTGAACTTTACTTGGAGAAAAGAAAGCGAGGAAGTTGAACTACCTGGTGAGTTCAGAAAATATGTGTCTGTAACTTTATTCCAGCTATCGTTGTACTTTACTGTGAACAAGTTAGCGTAGCATAGCCCTGATCGATCCAAACTCCATTCAGAAAACAAACCTTTTAGAAGTTGTTGTCCTGCTGACTTGCTGAAGACCTGACAAAGCATGAATTCATATGTTTAACAAATCTCCATCATATTGTTGTTATTTCTGAATCAGTTTGATCCGTTTATTGCAATTAAATCCCAGCAAAATGTTTACTTTGGTTTCATACAGCTGTAGTAATGGTGAGTTGTGGTTATTCGCGTTAAAGCGTTGCAAAGATTAAATTTGCGTTTGGTCTGAATGCAGGATAAGAGCTCAGTTCACTGAGGCAAGCGCCTGCTGTTTCCTTTACGACCTGGAAAAAAAGTTGACCCCTCGATTGTCACTGTATAATTCGCACTCTGTCTGAATCCTTGCTTTATCTGCTCCCTGCCTGACGTAACATGACACTGGAAGGTTAGAGGTCCTCCAGAGGGAAGGTTTACTACTAGAAGGGGACAAGAGGAGGGAGGTGGTTCTACTAGTAGAGGCAGAACATTCATAGTAAAGTGTCACGGGTCGGGGAGCTCAGTGCAGACTGAGGTGAGGACCCAAATGCAGACAATGGCAAGGCGAGGAGGTTGCAGTTCAAAAACATTTATTAATTCAAAAGACTAACTGAAACAGGCTTACAAGGAGCTCGAGGCAAAGTCCAAACAAAGGTAATCCAGAACACAAGGCGATCCAAAAACACAGGGAATAATCAAGAACAAGGAAAACAAAGGAACACTCAACATTAGACGCAAGGACGTGACAAAGACTGGAGAGACAAGCAGGCATAAATATACACAGGGACTAACGAGCGGGGCGGGAGCAACACAGGTGAGCGGGATCAGGACTAACGAGGCAGAGACAGAGAGACAAGCAGGCAGGCAGAGAGACAGCAGGGGGAAACAGAGAGAACACTTAGACAAGCAGACATGGGGCAGAGTGAATAACCAAGAAGACAGAAACACACACAAGTTACAAAGAACCAGAACCTAAACGAGAACACAGAACTAGAACACCGAGTACAGAGGAGACCAAACCACAATAATGCAAACAAGGACCAGGAATGAACACCAAAACATGAACTAAG